TTTATAAAAGGGTGAATTAGTTGACTAGCAATATTGGAGTCCAAAATAAAGAATATAGCTATGGATGCAGGAAAAATAAGGTAACTAACCAACCCAATATTTTTTAGACATTTTTAACCCCACTCGCGCGTATCCTAACACACACACCTCAACCATATTACGTGGCTAACCCTTGTCCAAATGTTTGAGACATGATTATCCCACTCATAAACGTCCCATCTTTAACTCTAACATAGCAAAGCAGGATTAATTAATTTAAACCATGTGTAATTGCACCCATTCTAACACCATTAAAAATGTTTCTTGTCACAAATAAAGCAAAGGTAGGATATATATTGTTCAGAGCTGGGTATGAGAAAAAAAATGAATCTGAGAAAGTAATAGTGTCTGATGAGGATGATCTTTTATAAGTTAATAGACGAATTGAAAGGATAAAATTTCAATTTTTACCTACTGTTTATTTACCTGCTTTAAAGACAAATGATATTTAAGACTTGTAGTTTCTGTTTCGAAGATAGATGTGTAGTACATTATATATGTTTCTATTTAGCTCTGTCATATTTTGTCTATTCCATTTAAGCTTCAAATTTGTAGATTTGGGTTATGAGGGTATGTGTTGTTGCCTTGTGTTGCATATGAATTCACAAAATCGAGTTCAACAGGTGCTCTGGGGGTTTGGGCTCGACGGAGGAATCTGGCACTTTGAAACAGAGATTGTCAGTCCAAACAATTTCATCATCCTTTCCACATATGGCGTACCAATCAATATCCACTCTGAGCAATCATTCCTCTTCCATCGAAACTGTCGTCTACAAATGCCTGCATTCAAAAGAGTAAGACTTTTACCTCTATCATTCACTTAAAAATTTTAAGTAGACGTTTTTTATAGGGCCTTTTTTATATACAATTCACTATCTATGTATGTGTTGTTGTCATAGAATACATGAATAAAGCAGACAACTTGTAAATAGACATTCAGTTTCAAGTAGAATAGAAGTACCATTCTAACACTATTCTATCTGCATCACTCACACTTATAAACAAAGTTAACATAAAAAAAACTTTGAACAAATTCGTATTCCTTAAATTTAATTTTCTCAAATCTCCCATTTTCCGTTCCGGTGAACATACTTTCCTAAAATTTATATTCTAATTTCCCCCAATCTACTACCATAAACACGAAACTACACATGCAACATTCCAAATCTCCCCTAATGTTCCAATATTCGACACGATTGCAATAGATCTCCACACTTTGGGCTCATATTTCGTTACACGAAAAATTTCTAAACTCTCAACCAAAATACCCGTTACTCGACTCAGCTTATCTCTTTCTTCTTTCGGACTCCATTTTCTCCTTTCAACTCTGCAATATTCCCAGATCTCCTTCCTTAGCACTGTATACCCTTCGCGAGATCTCCTCTTATCTCACCCGTCGAGATGGCGCCCATGGAATTGCTTTTTTTTCTCACTTCCCAATCTCTGTTCTCTGTTCTCTGTTTCGTCTCTCACCTCCTCAGTCTCCCATCTCAAAAACACAACCTTTCTAATTTTTAAATTTCTGATATTTTTGGTAAATAACTAAATATCAGATATATTTTAATACTTCAATTGCAGATAATATCTTTTTTCACGCGCTCAGTCATATGTATAAGGGTATATTCGGAAATATTGCACAAATTATTCAAAATATTGTAGCCATGCTTTTTAATAGTTACTCAGCTAATTAATAAATTTTTGTTAGCTACTCTACCAAATTGTCCTTTATTAAATATTAATACAGATTAATAGAACCAGAGATTTGTAGAAAATCTTTAGTATGGATCAAAACAGAATATTTGTTATCATCGATATAATCTGTAAACTAATAATAATAAATCCAAATGATTAAAAAAACTACTCATTTTTTTTTTCTTTGACATCATCGTATGGTGATTCTCCCCAATTGCGAACCTCCTAGAATCCTCTGGGGCTCAGCAGCAGTAGTCCTTTTTTTCTCTGATTGTCCCCAGTGGCAGATGCATTACGCCGGAGATGATGAACGGAGATCACGAGACGGAGATGATGGACACTGATTCGGGTGACAAGGCCGACACCGCTAGGGATTTCCTCTCCGCCGCTCGAAGGCTCGTCGATCAAGGACAACCTTCTCAAGCTCTTCAAGCGGTATTTTCTCTTTCATTTCCCTTTTACCTTGGGATTTACTTGTTCGAATAGCTTTCGATGGTTGAGGTTCTAAGATCGACTTAGATCAATCATTCCTAGGCTGCGTCGCTTTAGCTCTACAGGTAGATTAAACACCAAAACTGTCTTGTGGGTTAAGCCTCTCAAGGAATTTTAGAGTCAAAGCCATTTGAATAAACATTTGATTTCTTGAGGCCTTTTGTTATGTTCGATGAATCACATACACAGATTGGCTTCTTAGCTGCTTCATGATATCCCTATGACCACTGTAACTAGGAATTGTAAACTTCAAATGTGTATCTTAAGTTTGATCCATCTACTTGCCAACACCATCCGATTAAGTCTGTCTCTTCTATGGTCAAGTGGCTAAACTAGTCGTTTACCGAGTTAGAATCCGAAGAAAGATCCCAATGTGACAAGACCCCTTTATTTTCTGTATTAGTGGTCGATTTAGAATTATATGGCTGGCTAGCTCTGAGTATTGCTACTTTTTTTTCAGAATGCTAATGTATCCTTGTTGAAATGGTATTGGGTTTGAGTGTTTGCCGTGTGTTCGATATCTGAGTTGATCGATCGCCTCTAGTCGTGAGACTTATATAATGGCAAGACCCATCACTTGTGTTGTTTATGCACATAGACACCCTTTTTCTTTATGTTTTCCCTTTCCGGAGTCAGTTATCTTTTGAGAGAACAGGTAGTTATGGCGATGAGAACCCAAGGAGGAGATGAGGCAGTACTTGAGATACTGAACCGTACCCGTGAACTCTACAAGCGTAGAATCCAAGAAACAGCTAGTATGGACCAGCTTGCTTCTATATTTGCTGAGTGTGCCATTACGGAAGCACAGCCTATTGGGCATGAGCCAAGATCAACAGACATATTTGGGACCAAAGAAACAGTTACAGCAGATGCTCATGGCATATCTATTCTGGAAAAAAGCGGGAGGTCACAGATTGTGCTTGATGCCTTTGCCGATGGAAGCAGCTTTATCTGTTTGCAATGCGGCGGTCTGGTGAGCATCCACAGGAGAGATGAACACTATGCGTACTGGTGTAGCAATATGTGAAACAATGATGCTATTTTATTTCTGCTGTAATATTTGGTGTAGCAATATGTGAAACGAGGATGCTATTAAGTTGGTCAAATTAATGTAGAAAGCACACACAATGTGAATTAATTAACTGAAGAACAAGAACGTCTTATTTCACTATCTTCACCAACTTTAACACCAACCATACTTAGCTTCACAAACGATTCTCTCCATCTCTCAAAAAAGCTTTCCTCATCACTCGCTAAATCCTCCACCATCTTCCTCGTCCGATCATCTTCCATCAAGGCAGAATCCGTCTGGAATAAACCCTTATGCTCCTGGAGATTCTTGTAGTACTGATTATCAAACCTCGACGATGTCTCTGGATCGTTACTCACAGTCACTAACGTC